CCCTTTTTGTCTTCTCACACAACCTCAATCATCATATTCTATTCCACCTATAGTGCTATGTCCATGGCTCGCGCTCATATATTGCATAAAAGTTGAAAGAGTTTGAAAAGGCTAAGTATGAAACAATTGCTTGGCTTGTCATCGGGGTTTGTGCATGATGGGAGCATTTTGTGTGACGAAAATGAAGCATGGCCAAACTATATAATTTTGTAGGGATAAGTTTTCTTTGGCTATGGTATTTTGATAAGACATAATTGCTTGATTAGCATACTTGGAGTATTACTATTTCAATGTCAACAATAATCTTGAATCGTGAATCTTTCGAATCTAAACATTCATGCCACAATAGAGAAAAATACATTGAAGAACTTGCTAGAAAGCATTCCACATCAAAAATTCTGTTTTTATCATTTACCTACTCAAGGACGAGTAGGAATTAAGCTTGGGGATGCTTGATACGTCTCCAACGTATCTATAATTTTTTATTGTTCCATGCTATTATATATTCTATTTTGGATGTTTAATGGTCTTTATTTTACACTTTTATATTACTTTTGGGACTAACCTATTAACCCAAGGCCCAGTGCAAATTGCTGTTTTTTGCCTATTTAAGTGTTTCGCAGAAAAGGAATATCAAACGGAGTCCAAACGGAATGAAACCTTTGGGGACATGATTTTTGGAACAAACGTGATCCAGAGAACTTGGAGTGGACATCAAGAAACGAACGAGGCGTCCATGAGGCAGGGGGCGCGCCTACCCCACTGGGCGCGCCCTCCCTCTCGTGGGCCCCTCGTGGCTCAACCGACCTACTTCTTCCTCCTATATATGTTCATATACCCCGAAAACATCCAGGAGCACCACGAAACCCTATTTCCACCGCCGCAACCTTCTGTACCCAAGAGATCCCATCTTGGCACCTGAGCTCCGTCGGAGGGGGCAACAATCACAGAGGGCCTCTACATCAACTCCATGACCCCTCCGATGATGTGTGAGTAGTTTACTGCAGACCTTTGGGTCCATAGTTAGTAGCTAGATGGCTTCTTCTCTCTCTTTGAATCTCAATACAAAGTTCTCCTCGATCTTCTTGGAGATCTATTCGATGTAACTCTTTTTGCGGTGTGTTTGTCGAGATTCGATGAATTGTGGGTTTATGATCAAGTCTATCTATGAACAATATTTGATTCTTCTCTGAAATCTTTTATGCATGATTGGTTATCTTTGCAAGTCTCTTCGAATTATCAGTTTGGTTTGGCCTACTAGATTGATCTTTCTTGCAATGGGAGAAGTGCTTAGCTTTGGGTTCAATCTTGCGGTGCTCGATCCCAGTGACAGAAAGGAAAATGACACGTATTGTATTGTTGCCATCGAGGATAAAAAGATGGGGTTTATATCCTATTGCTTGAGTTTATCCCTCTACATCATGTCATCTTACCTAATGTGTTACTCTGTTCTTATGAAATTAATACTCTAGATGCATGCTGGATAGCGGTCGATGTGTGGAGTAATAGTAGTAGATGCAGACAGGAGGCGGTCTACTTGTCGCGGACGTGATGCCTATATACATGATCATGCCTAGATATTCTCATAATTATTCGCTTTGCTATCAATTGCTCGACAATAATTCATTCACCCACCGTAATACTTATGCTATCTTGAGAGAAGCCACTAGTGAAACCTATGGCCCCCGGGTCTATTTTCCATCATATAAGTTTCCAATCTATTTTATTTTGCAATCTTTACTTTGAATCTATATCATAAAAATACCAAAAATATTTATCTTATCATTATTATCTCTATCAGATCTCACTCTCGTAAGTGATCGTGAAGAGATTGACAACCCCTTTATCGCGTTGGTTGCGAGGTTCTTATTTGTTTGTGTAGGTACGAGGGACTTGCGTGTGGCCTCCTACTGGATTGATACCTTGGTTCTCAAAAACTGAGGGAAATACTTACGCTACTTTGCTGCATCACCCTTTCCTCTTCAAGGGAAAACCAACACAGTGCTCAAGAGGTAGCAATGGACTCCTAATCATCTTTCCTCTAAGCTCCCCAACAGCAAAAAACACCTGCTTGAAGTACCTAGAGATGGTCTCCATTGATCTCCTGAACGTGTTGTGAATGACCCTGAACCTCTGGTTATGGCCAACAACATGGAGAAGCATGGCCACTTGCTCTTCCAAAGTGGTGTTGATGTTATCGTGTAGCAGCACTCTGCTCCTGAAGGTCTCGACTCTTTTTATTCGAAGCATCCACAAAGCCTCGACGTCATTGCAGTTGTAGATGTAGTTCAGATTTTCGATCCTCTCCTGTTCCCGGATAAACATTGGACCATAGCGGATCGAAGGTCTCCCAACACGATGAATAGCTCTTTGGTGCATGAACATGACCCATGCCTGAATCACACTTATCAGTGTCGCTGCCTGAATTATCAGCCTCATCCGTGCGTCCATAACCTAGTCAACATCGACAGTTCATTTAGTGGGAAATCGATCCTACACCTTGCCTAATGGCCTAACCACCGACCTAACAAAGGGAGGAGGGGTGCTTCTTACCGGCATCCGAGACGAGGACGGCGTAGGGGGAGCCATGGCACAGACAAGGTTGACCATATGGTGGCCAATAGCAAGGGAAGCACCAGATCTACCGCAAACGCCGCCGCTGCCTCTTGCGCAGATCTGAAATCGCAGCCGCTGCCGGTGGTGAGGCAGTAGGGAAGAAAGTGGCTATGGGTGAGCGAGTAGAAAGGGGGTGAGACTAGTTTTGCCGCCTGGACGGTGCACCAGATTTCCCATCCCCCTCGCCCGTGCGACCTCACGCTGCTCTCAGCTTGGCTCGCGAGAAACTGCCGATCCAAGCATTTTCAGCGAGCCATGCTCTGGGCTGCTTTGAGAAGCGTGCGATACAGACCCAACAGTGAAACCAGGCAACCAAACAGACCTCTTCCTTCCCGCGCGGGCCTGGTAGGGCTCGATGCGGGCAACCAAACACGCCCGCTGTGTACGTGAGTCGCATGGTGCTGGGAGTTGCATATGCCCCAATTGATGGAAGAGATATGATGAAAAGAACGTATTTTGATAGCAAAGTATACAAAAATGGCTATGCAAAAAAAAAACATGATACATTCTCCAAACCAAACAAAATATGGGCTAACATCATCCTCCAACCAAACATAAAAAATGGCTATCCTTAGCCAGCTGGATGGGATACCCATAACCATCCTACCATGTCCCTCAAACCAAACACAGCCTTAGTTGTCAACTTGTGTTCGGATCACAGCACAAATCCATGGCCAGAGATGTTTCTGTACCTGTGTGCCTCTACGATTTTGTAGGTTCACACGATTGACTGGGGCACATGACAACTCTATTAGAGCGGTCTTTTCAATCAAAATCGTAATATTAATCATTATTTATACTGATTAAGCCGATACGGCGACTCTAGTTGGTCTGTGTGCCCTACAGAAGAATGATGGTAGTATAGATCATGAGAAGTATGTGGGGTCAGAAATGATTTCGACAGAAGAAGGTAAAAACGGTTAACCCAGTCGCCGATTACATAGGAAAGTGTTTGCAGCCGGTGCGCCGGCCGAACGCCGCGCCGGACTCGCGCAAGCCGCGCGCGGGATCGATCCAAATCCTGTGGCGCACAACTAACCCCTCGTGATGCACAGGCTAGTCAGGCCACATCTTTTTTTAGAATCAATTAGGCCACGTCTAGGACCCACCCACGCTCCCCATCGCTCACTTTTTTTTATCGATGACCACCGATTCATTGTAGACTTTTCTGCCTTTTTCATGCATCTCTTCTCTCTCTCCTGTTCATCTGCTACCTCGCACCGCATCGCCGGCAATGGCCATCCAATCACCTCCCTGACCGATGACGAGAATTTGCTAGAACCGGCTGATTGATTTTTGCTGGAAGAACCATGGCCGTGTTGTTGCATAGATGAACCATGCATGCCAAATAGATGATGGAACACACGAACATAACTTTTTGCTGGAACCACCTAAGTTTTTTGCTGCAATAGTTGGCGTTTTTGCTCCGGCCGGCATCGATGATTGTGACAACCATTGATGACGAATCGAGACATATGACGGCTGTGTTGGGCCTTTTGCTGCAACTGGTGTCATTTTTTGCTGCTACCATGTTGACAATTGCTACAACCATTCACGAGGACACTGACTGCAGCAATGCCATTTTTGTTGCAAGTGTTGTCGTGTTTTGCTACTACCGATGTTGATATTTGTTACAACCACTCTCAAGGACACAGACGGCGGCGACGGCGAAGATGTCCTTGTTTTTGCTACTAGCAGTGTTGACGTGTTGCATCCGGCATGATATCGAGCTACAACCGGCAAGTCATTTTGCTGGGACCGGTGTGAATTTTTGCTACTATCTGTAACAGCAGGACATTTTTGCTACAACCGGCGAGTTGTTTTATTAGGACCAGTGTGAATTTTTGCTACAACCTGCGATGGCAGGGCATTTTTGCTACAACAGTGAGTAGTTTTGCTGGGACCTGTGTGTATTTTTTATGCTACCGGCAACAACAAATTTTTTTTTGCTACAACAGACAAATCGTTTGTTGTGACCACCCTGATTTTTTGCTACGCACGATGGCGAACTTATTTTGCTACAAATGACGAGTTGTTTTGCTTGGACCAGCGAGAATATTTGCTACGCCGCTGGAACCGGTGATCAGTTTTGTTGGAACCGGCGAGAATTTTCATTGTGACGGGCGACCGGTGAGATTTTTTGTTGCGTCCCGGCGATGGTGAGCCATTTTTTTGCTGGGACCGACGACATTTTTGCTGCGACCGGCGTGATTGTTTGTCGCTGAGAATTTCTGGTGATTATTTGCTGGGATCGGGGAGATGATTTGCTGGGACTGGCGAGACGGCAAGCTGCGACCGGCAAGACGATTTGCTGGGACCAGCACGGGCCATGTTACAATGAGCTTTTTGTGGGAGGCAACAACGGCGAGTTGCAACAATGATGCATGGCGGCGACGGCGAGCTGGGACGGTGGACGGGCATTCACGGGAGCCGGGGCACCGCGAGTCGACGAGCAAAGCATCGACGCATGGCGACAACAGCGTGTTTGCCGGATGACGAAGTGCTCGCGAGGCGACGATGGCAAGTTTCCACGGCGATGCAAGGCAGCTACGATGAACTGCAAGGTGGACAGGGCATTCATGGAAGCTGGGTGTTGCGAGTCAACGAGCAAAGCTATGAGGCATGGGCATGGCAATGACAGCCCGTTCCATGCGGGCTGAGCACACAGGTTCAGTTTTTGCATGTGTTCAGCGGGTTCAGTTTTATACACGTTCAGTGGGTTCAATTTTGCATGACGAAACCAGATCCAATGTTTACGGAGATGGACGCATCCAATGGACAAGGAAGGACCGGCGGAGTGACTCGGCCGGTCGACCGGCGCAGAGCAGCTCCCGATTACATGGACAAGGAAGGACCGGCGGAGCGACTCGGCCGGTCGACCGGCGCAGAGCAGCGCCCGATTACATAAGACTGATGTTGATAGTTATGTGTAGACTCCTAACAGAGTGAAAAAAGGCAAAAATCTAAAGGCAAAAAATAAAAGAAACTCCAGGATTGAAAGGCTTTGGGGAGATGCCACCACCGACAGTTTGGTGGACCTACTGTGGTAGCAAAAAGGAGGAAATATTTAAGTGTTTTCTAGAAAGGAAAAAAGAAGATAGCATTGCGTTAGGGGATGCTTTCAGTCAATCATTGGAGTGGCAAGGGAGTGAAAATACGCTCCTCCGTCTCAGTGTAAGCCGTTCTTGTTGATTGCTTGTTAGTAGTTTATTACCCATAAATTGACTGATGCGTTCCCACCATGCAGCACCAAACACAATCAAATGCCCGTAGTGCCATCATCACGTCAAATCACAATATGACTGGTCCAAGCTAGTACCACGAGACACCTGCTACCTCCGTCCTGACTTATCGGTACCCTTCATATTTTATGTTAAATTTTTTTATCATAAATTTAACTAATAAAATATTAATATATGTTATCAAAAGTAATATGAACGGAAACTATATGTAAATATGAATGCAATGATATAATTTTTTATGACATGAATTAACATTTTATTGGTTAAATCTTTGATAAAATTTGGCACAAAATATAATGAGGACTAATGAAATAGGACAGGATGGTAGTTAGGGATGCAGAGCGGACCGACACGCACGAATCGAAAAAAAGAATGCAAAGTGGACGGCATGCACAAGACCCGTTTGCTTGCATCCCAGCATGTAGCTCAAAACACTTGGGATTGCTTCCTCGGGTTACGATTTTGACCTCTTTGGTTGTCTTGTCTGCACTGAAATCATGGTTTATACGAAACTTGAAGCACCTTCCAGTTAGGCCCGTTGGCAACTGTTAAATTGAGTGTGTCCTCACATCCGAGTTCTCGGCATGCAGCGTCGAGTTCATGCGAGCATTCCGAAAAACGGTATTGAGTCACCTCCCGTTGATTCGGTCGCCCAATTTAACCCTATTTGGCTCACCGCTGAAAGTCATGCCACCATTTGACTCCCTTTAAGCTCTTTGTTCTGGGCGGATTCTCCACCGACAAGCAAGTAAGTGGCGTAGCTTTTTCGGGTGGCAGTTATCGGCGACGGCGATTCTTTTATCCCCTTCTCCAAGATGTTACGTGCCAACTCCTTGCCCATCTAATGGTTGTAAGTTAAATCACTCCGTACTCATTCAGCCTTAGATCTATCAGCATGTGGTAGGAGTAGATTTGCAGGTAGGATGGTAGGTTATGTCGTTCTAGTAGCATGCTAGTTTCTGCTTTGCCGGATTGATGATGCTCATATTGTTTTCCATGTCGGTTTCAATGTTTGATAGCAGGCCATGTGTTGTATGATGTTATATCGGTATGGTAGATAGGTAGATGTGGTAGTCTATTGAACTTCATGACCAGTCAATGCTAGTTCGCTAGATGTGCTAGTGTGTTGAGCTTGAAGATCAGTTCATGTGTAGCATGCGTTGTCTTTGTTCAGTAGTCCTGATGCTAACCATCGTAGGACATGAAAAACAATGACCTTAGTTAGGCCATTGTTCCGTCTGAGAGTCAGTTATGTTCCTCCCATGTCGAGGACTTCCATCCGCTATCCGAGCAGATGCATCCTGATTCAGATGTGTTTGAGGGCCCCATTGTGCAACCGTCCTTAGTGGCGTCGATGCTTGTGCCAGCTACTAAAGCTGCAAAGCCACCAATTAGGGCTGGGGGCTGGGAAGGGAACACAATGAAATGGCTAGCTTTCTATCCACATTCGTGCTTAACAAGATTTGTGAGATCATCTCCAATGGGGTGAAGATTGACAAGGGTTCGAGGAGGTGCAGCTCAACTCTATTGCCAAGCAGGTCTTTGAGTTTTGTAGCACATAGGTGACCTCAGCCCAGGTCTACAACCAGCTTAGGAAGTGGAGAGACATATGGATCTCAAGCTCAGAGACCTTAGCGACACACAATGGATTAGGAAACCTTCTTGATCCTATTGAAGGCAGGGGACTACCAAGGCCACGTCTCGATTAGCTAACATAGACTTGTCTCACTTCTCCAACATGCCAAACATGACTAACAATGTTGTCTTTCTTTCTTATGACCAGCCCAAGGACGCAGAGTTCTTCCACACTCCCTTCCATAACTATTGTCAGATGCAAACCATATTCTCCTAGGCTCTGGCTACCGGCAAGAATGCCATGGGCCCAAGTGAGCCCCTCGGTTCACCTATGCATGAGTATCCAAACACCCAGGAGTCGGAGACCATCATTCTTGATGGCACTTGGAAGGCTGGTGTTGGTGACTATCCTGCTCATGAGATAAAGAGAAAGATAGAGAGCTTGATGGAAGAGGATCTCAACGTCTTTAGCAGCATGACCGATGTCGTGAAGGAGATGGCATCTGCCATCAGGAAGAGCAAGCCCGTCTACGTCCACCCTGTTGGAAATATGCCCTAGAGGCAATAATAAATTAGTTATTATTATATTTCCTTGTTCATGATAATCATTTATTATCCATGCTAGAATTGTATTGATAGGAAACTCAGATACATGTGTGGATACATAGACAACACCATGTCCCTAGTAAGCCTCTAGTTGACTAGCTCGTTGATCAATAGATGGTTACGGTTTCCTGACCATGGACATTGGATGTCGTTGATAACGGGATCACATCATTAGAAGAATGATGTGATGGACAAGACCCAATCCTAAGCCTAGCACAAAGATCGTGTAGTTCGTATGCTAAAGCTTTCCTAATATCAAGTATCATTTCCTTAGACCATGAGATTGTGCAACTCCTGGATACCGTAGGAATACTTTGGGTGTGCCAAACGTCACAACGTAACTGGGTGGCTATAAAGGTACACTACAGGTATCTCCGAAAGTGTCTGTTGGGTTGGCACGAATCGAGACTGGGATTTGTCACTCCGTGTGACGGAGAGGTATCTCTGGGCCCACTCGGTAGGACATCATCATAATGTGCACAATGTGATCAAGGAGTTGATCACGAGATGATGTGTTACGGAACGAGTAAAGAGACTTGCCGGTAACGAGATTGAACAAGGTATCGGGATACCGACGATCGAATCTCGGGCAAGTACAATACCGCTAGACAAAGGGAATTGAATACGGGATTGATCGAATCCTCGACATTGTGGTTCATCCGATGAGATCATCGTGGAACATGTGGGAACCAAAATGGGTATCCAGATCCCGCTGTTGGTTATTGACCGGAGAACGTCTCGGTCATGTCTGCATGGTTCCCGAACCCGTAGGGTCTACACACTTAAGGTTCGATGATGCTAGGGTTATAAAGGAAGTTTGTATGTGGTTACCGAATGTTGTTCGGAGTCCCGGATGAGATCCCGAACGTCACGAGGAGTTCCGAAATGGTCCGGAGGTAAAGATTTATATATGGGAAGTCTTATTTTGGTCACCGAAAAAGTTTCGGGTTTTATCGGTAATATACCGGGACCACCGGGAGGGTCCCGGGGGTCCACCAAGTGGGGCCACCAGCCCCGGAGGGCTGCATGGGCCAAGTGTGGGAGGGGACCATCCCCAGGTGGGCTGGTGCGCCCCCCACCAAGGCGCAAGGCGCAAGGGAGAGTGGAAGGGGGCAAGCCCTAGGCTCAGATGGGCCTAAGGCCCACCTAGTGGTGCGCCTCCCTCTCCCCCCCCCTTGGCCGCCCCCCTAGATGGGATCTAGGGCTGGCCGCCACCCCTAGGGGTGGAAACCTAGATGGGGGCGCAGCCCCTCCCCTCCCCCTATATATACTTGAGGTTTTGGGCTGCCAGACACACGGATTCAATCTCCTTCTTGGCGCAGCCCTCCCCCTCTCCCTCCTCGTCTCTTGCGGTGCTTGGCGAAGCCCTGCTGGAGTACCACGCTCCTCCACCACCACCACGCCGTTGTGCTGCTGCTGGATGGAGTCTTCCTCAACCTCTCCCTCTCTCCTTGCTGGATCAAGGCATGGGAGACGTCACCGGGCTGTACGTGTGTTGAACGTGGAGGTGCCGCCCGTTCGGCACTAGGATCTCCGGTGATTTGGATCACGATGAGTACGACTCCTTCAACCCCGTTCTCTTGAACGCTTCTGCATAGCGATCTACAAGGGTATGTAGATGCACTCTCCTTCCCCTCGTTGCTGGTTTCTCCATAGATAGATCTTGGTGACACGTAGGAAAATTTTGAATTTCTGCTACGTTCCCCAATAGTGGCATCATGAACTAGGTCTATTGCGTAGATTCTATGCACGAGTAGAACACAAAGTAGTTGTGGGCGTTGATTTTGTTCAATATGCTTACCGTTACTAGTCCAATCTTGATTCGGTGGCATTGTGGGATGAAGCGGCCCGGACCGACCTTACACGTACTCTTACGTGAGACTGGTTCCACCGACTGACATGCACTAGTTGCATAAGGTGGCTAGCGGGTGTCTGTCTCTCCCACTTTAGTCGGATCGGATTCGATGAAAAGGGTCCTTATGAAGGGTAAATAGCAATTGGCATATCACGTTGTGGTTTTTGCGTAGGTAAGAAACGTTCTTGCTAGAAACCCATAGCAGCCACGTAAAACATGCAAACAACAATTAGAGGACGTCTAACTTGTTTTTGCAGGGTATGCTATGTGATGTGATATGGCCAAGAAGAATGTGATGAATGATATGTGATGTATGAGATTGATCATGTTCTTGTAATAGGAATCACGACTTGCATGTCGATGAGTATGACAACCGGCAGGA